AAGCCGTCGGACGATGTCGATCAACCAAATGACACCAGTCAATGCTTAAAAATTTAGAAAAACTAAAGAGTACGTGTCGCGAAGCGACACTCACACCCTTGTTAAAGTTAAAAGAATGAATAATTGTTATTAATACCTGCAACATTTTGAAAGAATGCAAAAGCGTTCTTTTCTGCATCAGACCGGTCAACCGTGGTGCTCTCTGCCCGAGGAGCAGTTTCAGCCTGTTGATAAACAATGATCAGGTATATTAGAGCAGTAAAAATAAACAATTTTTAGTAGCACTCCAAGGGGACAAGCTAACACTAAATTGATGAAAAGCAATCGCAAAGTTAATAGTAAACCACCTCAACCCAAATCATGCAACTATTAAAGGTTTTAGCAGTGAATGTAGTTAAATGAAAAAGAGTGCAGTTAAATGAAATCTAGAGGAGGCGTTAAAGTATTGGAGATGTGGTGGTAATCTCGGGAAAGTGGTGGGGTCAGGCAAAGTAGATCGACTAACCACATCGGGCTTGGTATTGACCGCTTCGTACCACTGTCTAGCCAAACTAGCAAGCGATAGACATGTGCTAAGCATTTCGAAGATGTTCATGTTAGAATTGGCTCCATTCTCTTCCGGCACTGGGTCAGGGTCAGGAAGCACTTGACCGCGAATAACTTGCTCATCAATGACAGGGCCATTTGAGATTTCATTCTGTGGTTAAAAAAGAAGAAAAGGAAGTGGCAACGTCCAGACGCAAAGTGAAAGAAGTGGAGTAAAAATCCAAAGCAAAAATGTTAGTTAGTTAGTGATTTGGGCTTTTTCACCCAGTTATGCTACATAAAAGATACAGAGATCGGCAAGAAAAGCTCGCAAACACATATTTCGTCTGATTAACATTAAAGTTGAGAGTAGTGACGCAATCTTACGCAAACTGCTTGTCTGAAGAAAAAACGGCAATTCCCAAAAAGTCTCTTTACTTACCCCATTCTCTTTGTTGTCATCCTCTTCACCGGTAACCGCACTGACAGCATCATCGTTTTCAAGCACATTCTTGGCTGCCTTTTCAGTGAAAAACCTAATCATAAAGTCTCCTTTTTGGTTAGGCTCAAAAGTTGATGGTATTATGCAGTAACGACCTGTCGTTGAAAAAATCATTAAAATAAGTAGAGAATCATCAATGAACTTAGTCCTTTTATACCCGGTTTTAAACGGAAGCGACCGCTAATTTCACGAAGATTTATAAAAGTTGCTGATCGCTCCACAGATGCGTTGTAGCGGAAAAAATTAGTATTGAGAACTTGCGAGCCAGCTGTTGACTGGCGTGAACTAGAAAAAAACACAGTTTTATGTTTTGTTTACTGATTTTGTCAATGCCACTAACCTCACGCCAAGCGAGTTTTCCTTTACTTCGTAGATGGCAAAACCAATGGTCAAGTTATCGAGACCCATCTTTCGCTTAATTCGGTGATTCTTCTGCATTACCGCCACCACACAAGTGCACAAATCGTCCCCGTCGTCTTCATCGTGGTCTACCAGCGTAATCATGTACTGTGGATTCATGTGAAACGTGTCAAGGTTGTTTCGGCATCCACCAGCGCTGACACCGGGAATCCACTGTCCTTCGAAGTAGTTCACCTCCCACCGACGTTTGGTGTCCTCATCCAGTGAATCGGGCGTCAAGTTGGTGATTTCAATGTTTGTGTAGTTTTTCTTAAAATCAGCAAACGACATCCAAAATTCACCGTCAGCATCAAAGGTAAGGCCGAGTATTCGCTTGTCAGACGCCGAAACAATTGTCCACTCACGAGATCTAAAAGCATCGACAACACAATGAAATTTCATACTTTTGACTGGAATTTAAAACAGTACTTACTGGTCACTCCAGGCGCCCTTCCACTCGGCCTCATTGCCCCACGGATTGCGGATTCGAATCAGAGGAATCTTGCCCTGTACCTGCATCTTCGGGTGGTTGATTTGCACTAGCTTCACCGAAGTGATCGAGTAGGCGTGCCCCTTTATGAGGCCATTGGAGAGTACTGCCTCCATTTGGGATGAATCAGCGGCGGTAATACTGCAACCCATGAAGGAGCCACGCTGATGTGCTTTCAGCATAATTGTGAACAGATTGGACGGACACTCTTCACTTTGAATTTCGTAATGCTCAGTGAGGCCGCCAGTAAAGTCCTCCATTGCCTCACTTGTCGTTCCGCCCTACGGTGAAGTTGTTTAGTGGTACAGTTTTTAGTGCTAAAAAATTAGTACCTTCAAGGATTCGTAACTGCCATGCAGCTTGGCGTAGGCTTTCTCCAGCAATGCTGACCAAAACTCATTGCGCTCTTTCGAGTGCATCAACACCAAACGTCCATTAACAGTTGGCAGGCGATCGTCCACAACTACGTCAATCCACTTGCCGTACTGCCAGAAACGAAAGTGAAATATGCCTAGTAAAGAAAAGACAAGACTGATTAGCATTGGGTAAACTAAAGGGTAGCAAATTTGCAATCACTTACCAGCATATTCACCCTTGGCAAATGTTTGGTCATGAGGCACAACGCGCTCAAGNGACGTCCATTAACAGTTGGCAGGCGATCGTCCACAACTACGTCAATCCATTTGCCGTACTGCCAGAAACGAAAGTGAAATATGCCTAGTAAAGAAAAAACAAGACTGATTAGCATTGGGTAAACTAAAGGGTAGCAAATTTGCAATCACTTACCCGCATATTCACCCTTGGCGAATGTTTGGTCATGAGGCACAACGCGCTCAAGATGATTTTTGTGAAGGGTCAAATTGGCGACGGCTGTTTGGAGAAAAAAGATGATGTAAGGTTAAAGTATTCAATAATAAATCACCTCATTTACCTGCCAACAGCCAGCAATTGCCAATTTCTCCCTGGTTAACGTCAAATCGCTCTGCTCCTTCGTTGAAAAACTTAGGGCTGTCAACAATTTCTCCAGGACGCAGCCATTTGAAACGTTGCTGCCCTCGGCCGTGCAGATAAAAGGAGGCATCAGAAGCGGGAAATGTGTTGTCTTCAAAAAGCGTTCCCGCATTCAAATGTCGTTGCTTCAACTCTTCATAGTTTTGTGGTGGTCCTTCAAAGTTGGCATTTAGACCTGATTTGCTTTCTCCAAGCTGGTAGGTAAACAGAAAGAAAGTAAGAAGATTAGAAAATGATAAAAATGGATTTTTGCTGATAATAATAGAACAAATCAAGATATTATTAACGATTGTGGCTTTCTGTTCAATATGTTTTGGTTGCAAATCAGTTTATAGATCGATGTTGATCGGCATCATTTAGCATTTAATAAATTGTTTTGTTAGTCTTTTACTGACAATGAGAACGTACAAGCACCAGTGGCGGATTGGGCAAAGGAGCCACTCGACAAGGCATTGAAAAAACACAACTGGCTGGCCGTCTGAGTGAACATTGACGATGTTTTTAAAGAGAGCTTATAAAGGAAGATTCTTTAGCACAACTTGAGTGTCATTCAGCCAAAAATAATTTCATGTCACTGTTAGAAAAACAAATGTTTTGCGGAAAAACTATGCGTTTTTATCGTGTACATTTCCTGTGTCAATGTTGATATACGTTCTCTCGTACACAGAGACTGTGCAAGAGAACACCTCATAGTGACCAGTACTGACAAGGTTAGCATTTCTGGTATATATGGCTTGCGAACCGTAATGAAAGTGCACTCGATTCTATTTCATGAGTTATGAAAAAGTTCAGGTAAGCAAGTTTATGTAACTAATTAGTCGTAATTGAACTAATTAAACGAATTGCCTTCCAGCGACAATTGATTTGAGATTTGCCAGGTTACTAGGCTACATCACTAATCACCAAGTACGTGCACGCTGATCACCAATAGTCTGTCTCTGACCATTGTTATCCAATGTGGATCAATCTTTGTAAACGCCCATCACCAATGAGAAACTCACAGCTTTGCTATATTCTCTGCGCACCAGCACATATCAACCAGAAACAGTACTACGTAGCTATATGAACAAGAAACTAGCTA